TCCTTCCTTCCTTCCTTCCTTCCTTCCTTCCTTCCTTCCTTCCTTCCTTCCTCCCTTCCTGCCTTCCTGCCTTCCTGCCTTCCTGCCTTCCTGCCTTCCTGCCTGCCTTCCTTCCTTCCTTCCTTCCTGCCTGCCTTCCTTCCTGCCTTCCTCCCTTCCTGCCTTCCTGCCTTCCTCCCTTCCTCCCTTCCATCCCTCCATCCCTCCCACCCGTGCTGTGCTTGTCCTGAGGTGATGGGGGGAAATCCAGCTCCATGTGGTGCTGGGCTCTTCCTTGGAGCTGAAGCTCATTTTTGATGCCTGCAGGACCAGGCTGGAGCCTGGGTTTGGGTTTGCTCAGAGAGGTTCCCCTGCAGAAACCCTGAGGAGCTGTTTTGTTTTCAGGAGCTGCTTCCAGGGCTTGTTTTTCCAAGGTGGGGGAAAGCCCAGAGGTGCTGCTGGAGCTCATGAGGAGCCTTTGCTGCTCTCGGGGTCCTGAGCACATCGGGCTGGGCTGTGCCATCCCCTGGGCCTGAGGGCTCTAATGAAGCTAATGAGGGTGTTTAGAGGAACACAGAACTAATTTCTCTCACAGCATGGAAAGGCTCCTGGGGGAGCTGGGCTGAGCCAAGGCACAGGATGGCAGACAACGCTGTCTGCCCAAATCTCAGAGGTGTCAGGCTGCTGGGAGAGGAGCTGGAACGTGGCTGAAAGCTGAATTTCCTCCCTAATTGCCAGCAGGGTGGAGTGGCTCGTTCCCTGCTCTCCCTGCTTTCCTGGTGCCGCAGTGGGAAGCAGAGATGGGATGGGGTGAGCAGGGCTGTTCCCTGCGGTGCTCGGGGACACAGGGGTGCTCTGGGATGCTGAGCTGATGTTTGGAGATGTGGCTGCAAATCTGAGCACCCAGCAGCCATCCTGGGAAAGGGATGCAGCTCCTCCTGTGTGAGTCCTGCCTGCATTTGCTCCGAGGTGGTGGCAGAGCTTCCTCTGCAGCGCTGCCCTTGTGCCCTGCCCGGGGACACTTGTGTAACTCGGGGATCCGGTTACTGCCCAGCTCAGCTGCCGAGCCCTCCTCTCTCCCCAGCAGGAGCAGGCAGGAATAATGCAGAGTTTGATCTCCGAGGAGCCCTTCTTTGCAAGGGGAACAGGAGAAAAGAGCTGGAAAAGCTGAACTGAGAGCAGCTGTCCAGGCTGCTGCCATCAAAGGGTTAACCTTGGTTGTGTTCCAGATTACTGGGTTCCAAAATCAGCTGGGGTGGGATGGGGGCAGTTCATCCTTGCTGAACCTCAGGGGAAACACGAGGTGATTTTCCCATCCCAGCCTCCTTGTTGGGAGCCAAGAAATACAAATCCTTTTGCGGTCCCAGGCTGCCCTGGACACTGGGGCTACATTAGGGCCAAGGGCAGGGTTGCCACAGCCCCAGATAGGCTGGATGTGGAGTTCCTGTGAGCAGAGCAGTGCCAGGACATCACCCACCAGAGGTTTCACAGCTGGCTGGGGCTGGGCAATGGGAGGGAAGGCTGGCAGCTGTGTCCCACCTAAAGGGGACAATCTGGTGCTGTTGCCCCACCACTGTGTCGTGCTCGGCCCATTCCCGGCATCCCAGGGCACAGGGAGCCGGTGCTGATGCTGAGGGCAGGAGTTTTGGGGTGCAGCAGGTGATGTTGGGGCTGTGGGCTGCCTCTGCCGTGGCTTGTCCATCCCCACATCCCTCCTGCAGCAGCAGTGGCCTTCCCCACTCAGCTCTGTGCACCTGGCCTTCAGCTCCCCACCACACCACTGCCACATTTCCTAAATTGAGCAAATCATTCCCTTAACGAGGCTTAATCTGCTCCTCTCCAAGCCTCTCCATCACCTCTCCAGGCAGAGCTGGCAGGGGAGCAGCTGGATCACAGCTGGGTGTTGTGAGAGCACTGGAGCAGCTGTTTGCTCCTGGAGGTTGGCTGGGTACAAAACAAACGTCAGGGCCGTGCTGCTGCAGGTAATGGAGGCTGCTGCCTCCTGCTTCGTTACAAATCCAATTAATCTCCTATAAAAGCACTCGGAGTAGCCTCTAAAAATGGGATGTATTTTGCTGTACCTCTGCTGTTTGTCTTGTGCAGGATGATGTTAACTAGCTGCTTCCTGCTGGTCCATTTTCCCGGCGCATAATTACAAATTGCTTTGTTTTTCTTTTCAGCTTCCTGGGTCCCCACTCCAGGCTCTTCAGAGGGGCTGCAAATAGCCAGGCTTTTCTCCAGTTCCCTTTGCACGGCTCCTCAGGGGGCTGGTGTTACTCTTAGGGTTTTGGCTCCTGCAGGATCTGTTTTTAGGCTAATTAAGGAAGAGAGGAGCGAGGAGGGACTGTCCAGCTTTCTGCCCTGAAGCTGTCGGTGCGAGTGATGGCAAGGAGTTGTGCAAAGGTTGCCTTTGGCCACTTTGATCCTTGCTGAGCCTCCCCAGGTGCACAGGTTCCCGCAGGGTTCCTCTCCTGGGGAAGCAGCAGAGCTGAGGAGGTGGGAGAGGCGTGAGCAGAGCCCAGGGATGGTGTTTTGGGTGGGTGGCTGAAGGGCTCATCCTGGCTGTGCCTTTCCCCGTGCCAGGGTTGCTCTGCCAGGGCAGCAGCATCAGTGAGTGTTTCTTCTGTGTTTTTTGGGAATTAATCTTGTTCCTGTGAAATCCCTGATGTGCTGGGCACCACTCTGGGTCCTGCAAAGCGTCCCAGGGCTGATGTTCCTCTGCTCCTGAAGCGTGGAGAGCTCAGAGGGGTCAGGACTTTTCTGTCTAAATCTCATTAAAATGACCAAACCTGCTGTTTCCTGCAGGGTGGGAGTGTTTTTCCACATCCCCCTGCTCACTGCTGCTCCAAGGGGCTCCAAGGGGCTGAGCCCGGCCCCAAAGGCTGCCGGGGACAGGAAGGAAAATGAACTATGCTTAAGATAGACACATTTGTTATTCTATATTTAGGAGCACAATAATTAAGGCTGGTTGTTTATCCTGACAAACATCATAATTAATAGTCTATGGCAGGCAAGCAAATCCTTCCTGCACCTGGGAACTCTGAGCTGTCTTTGGGAAGGGCAGGGGGCTCATTAAAGAGTTGTAATTTAGGGAACATCTGGAGGTTTGCTTTGTCCCCTCCCCAGGCACGTGTGCTGGTGGGCTTTGAATTTGTGGTGAGGGAGCTTTTGTGGTCAGGAGGGTCCCATGGAGCAGCAGGCTGAGGGATGGGAAATGATGGGGGACAGCAAAGGGCAGAGCGAGGATGTTTGGTGGCACCCAGGGGTGTGGCGGTGGAGGTATCAGGGTGCAGAAGCTGGCTCATAAATGCAGTAGATCTTGCTGGAGGGGGCACTGGGAGGTGGCAGGCAGCCAGAATAAGCTTTTACAAGCCTTAGGAGGAAGGGCAAGCTGAGGGCAAACGGCTTCTCAGCGTTCCCACTAGATGGGGATGGAGGCATTGCCAGAGCGCTCTCGCTGCGCCCACAGGGAGCACCCGGCCCTCGCTCCCGTGTCCTCTCTGGTGGCCACGGTGCCAGCCGGGGGTCATGACCCGGCTCCCCGGGGGTGGCTCGGGGCTGACAGGGTGTCACTTCTCCCACAGATGCTTCAGGACTGCCCCAAGGCCCGCAGGGAAGTGGAGCTGCACTGGCGAGCGTCGCAGTGCGCGCACATCGTTCGCATCATGGACGTCTACGAGAACCTCTACCAGGGGAGGAAGTGTCTGCTCATCGTCATGGAGTGGTGAGCACCGGCCCAGGAGCTGCCCAGCCCTGCAGGGTGGTGCCAAAACGGGGGTGGGCATCTTCCAGCCCTGGGGAGTGTGAGGGTTGCTGGCCCGGGCAGGAGGGACGGGGGCTGCGCTGGCTCTGAGTCATCCCGAGAACGCGCTCGGCTCTGCGAGGCTCGCTGGGTCAGAACCAAACTGGCTTTGGCCATCAAAAGCAGAGGTGGGCAGCGGTTCCTGGCAGCCCAGCAGCTGCCGTGGGGCAGCGAGCACGCCGAGCTGGCAGCTCTGGTACTGCCCTGGCAGCTCCTGCCAGCTGCAGCAGCTGAGCGGCTCTGCTTTGGGTAGGAGCTTGGTATTAACCTGGGGACGAGGAGGAGGGATGAAGGGGAAAGTATTGAAACCACATCCCAACCGCAGCTGTGATTTGATGCAGCTTCCTTGCCAAAACCTCTCCTCTGGCAAGCTGGTAGATCGCCTGGGGGGGCAGTGGGCGCAGGAGCAGTGCCAGGGCAGGTGGCACAGCAGCCCCAGAGCGGCTCCTGTGAGGGAACAGGCACCTGAGAACCAGCCTGGCACTCTGGGCAGCCAGGGGTGGGAAAGGGGTGTGTGGTGAGGAAAGAAAGAGTGGCTGAGGGGTCCCCAGGACTGTGTGACCCAGGGGTGCTCTGGTGCAATGCCCATCACAAGGCATGATTTGACTTCCAGCAGGAGCAGGCCCTGGATCCATCCTGGCAGGCTCTGGATCCATCCTGGCAGGCCCTGGATCCATCCTGACAGGTCCTGCATCCATCCTGGCAGGTCCTGGATCCATCCTGGCAGGCCCTGGATCCATCCTGGCAGGCCCTGGATCCATCCTGGCAGGCCCTGGATCCATCCTGACAGGTTCTGGATCCATCCTGGCAGGCCCTGGATCCATCCTGGCAGGCCCTGGATCCATCCTGGCAGGCCCTGGATCCATCCTGGCAGGTCCTGGATCCATCCTGCCATGTTCTGGATCCATCCTGGCAGGCCCTGGATCCATCCTGGCAGGCTCTGTGCAGCAGAGGGCTCTGAGGGCTGCAGGCCATTGCTGTTGCAGATGTGACTGTCAAGGAGATGCTATCAGCTCTGGGAAAGCCAAGCTGCTCCTGCCTCAGTCAGATAAGGCAGGGGCAGGAAGTGCCATTATCCCTGCTCTCATGGAGAATTCTCCCATATCTCAGTCCTGATCTCTGTGGGAGCTGCATTTCCCCATTGCCTGGGGAGGGAACCCCACCAGAGGCTCTCCAACACCTCCCATGGGACCTGGCAGTGCTGCAGTGGGGTCCAGCCTCTGCCTCCCAGCTTGGGGAGCCCGTTGTGACACTGCTGATGTCTCAGCCATGCCCTGAGCTTTGCTCAGCACTTCTGTGCTGGGTCAGGGTGCTGCTGAGGCAGTTGGCCTGTGAGCAAAAGGAGGCCACGTGTGCTGGGAGAGCTCTCACCAACTTCAAGCCACATATGCTGCTTTTACTGTAAATGTGTTTCTGTGGGCTGCTGGGGTGACCACGTCCGCCGGCGCCTCTGCCAGCACAGAGCCTCTGCCCTGCTCGTTTCGGGAAGGAGGAGGCTCTGAAATGCCCCAGAAGCACCAACCCAAGCACTTGGATGGGGAAGGGGATTGTTTCCTGCTGAGCAGAGGGTTTGGTGCAGCTTGTGGCTGCGTGAGACGGACCCACAGCGTGTAACACCACCTGCTTCTCTTGCAGCTTGGATGGCGGGGAGCTCTTCAGCAGGATTCAGGACAGGGGAGACCAGGCCTTCACAGAACGGGGTATGGAGCCCACGCCCTGCTGGCCTTCCAGTCCACCCCATCCCCTCAGTGACTCTTGAGCCCCCAGCAGAGTTTGGAGCTCCCAGAGGAACATGGATGCAAGGGCCCTGCTTTTCATGTTCACTTGGGAATAGGGTTAGGGGGGATTTTCTCAGCTGCTCCCACGCTCTGTCCCACTCCTGTCAGAAACACCCACCTTCCACAAAAAATTAAGTCCATGGGCTGTGGTTCTCAGATCTTATTAATCTTATTAATCTACCAGGAGCCTGTTGCTCCCTTGACTTCCCACCCTAAGGGGAAGCCTTTCCCAGCTGGATTCCTTGCTGCTTGGGTGTCCTAAATGGTGCAATCCCCTCTTTGGTATCAGGGTCAGGGGCTGCACTCTGCCCCATCCCTTCTCCTGCAGTTTCTGGGAGCTACAGGCTCCTTACCCAGGGGAGTGGCAGAGACTCCATGGAAAGGGGTTGGGACTTCCAGCAGAGAGAACCTCTTTGACCTCAGCCAGGTTCTTCTGACTCCTGGTTTGTAGAGTTCCCCAGGGAGTGGTGGTGCCCTTTTTAACTTGCTTGTGAAGGCTTCTGATGGTTTCTTTGCTGCTTCAGAGGCTTCAGAGATCATGAAGAGCATTGGGGAAGCCATCCAGTACCTGCACTCCATCAACATTGCGCACCGGGACGTGAAGGTACCACCCCGAGCCCTCCCCTGGCACTGCTGAGCCCCCCCTTGGCCGTGCCAGGGCCGGGCTGGCCCAGCCCTGCTGCTCAGCCCCTTCTTCCCTGCGTGTTCCCAGCCGGAAAACCTCCTGTACACCTCCAAACGGCCCAACGCCGTGCTGAAACTCACCGACTTCGGCTTCGCCAAGGAAACCACCACACACAACTCCCTGGCCACGCCGTGCTACACGCCCTACTATGTGGGTCAGTGCCTGGGGGGCTGGGCTGGGGGTTTCGAG